CACCACTCGCTAACGTAGTAGCACTTGTGCAAGTATAAAAGAAACACAGTATGTATTTTAAGCAGTGACAGTACTTCCAGGGTATTAAAATAGTAGTAAGGCAAGTGTTCAGCTCACATTAAGCAGCCATCTATCACTGAGGACCAGCTTGCTAGCATCATATATTCCCCCAAGAAAGATAATGCGCCTTGCCATAACAGAAGCATTGTCACCAGGCAACTAACAGAACCGCTCCGTAATAAATATTTCCCCTGTTCCCACAGAAACGGGCTCGGCATCCAGACCTGCTAATGCCTGGAGGGATGAGCTTGACCTTCATGCGCCATCTTCTTGCAAAGGCATGGTCCTCTCTCACCATGCTTGTCTCCTAGAAACATCGGGTAGCTGGGGCAAAAGCGCAGGGGGTCAGAACGGGACGGCAGGTGAGGCTCTCTACAGCTGCAAAGACTCAAGACGACTTGAAATTTCATTTTCTACTCTGCAAGTGATAAATTAGTTCAGCTCCATCTTGAAGTAATTCTCTTAGAGACAAGACAGCATCCGTCCTTAATGCAGGAAAGGTCATTTTACAGCTGTGCTGCGACTCGGCATAAATAAATTCTCAGAGGCATCTTGTTTTTTTGGAAATTCAAAGTTGGGCCAGCAGCAACAGCAGCCCTGCCAGTTTGGTGCTGTCAAATGCCAGTAACAGGCCTCAAGCTTTACAACAGCATGAGGCCTCGGGACTTGTCAGGGTTTGTGTGGACTTGAATCTATCTTAGCTTTAGTTTAGCTGCATCTCCACAATTATTTGGAGACACTTTTGCTGCATCTGTAACTTACTATCGGATCAGACAGCTCTCATCCAGCCTGCCCTAGCTGTAACAGCAAAACTAGCCAAAGGTTGGGTGTCTGCAGTCTAGTCTGTAATTTTAAGCTTGTTCTAGTTATGCTGTTACTTAACTTGTTTTGGGGTCATGTCTTGCTTAGCTTTGTACATGTGTGTGGTTCCCCCCCCCCTTCCCTCCCAAATCACCTCATACACGCAGAAGGACTAAAAAACCTGAGCAATCATGGTAGTAACCATTAACTAACCCTGTAGACCATCAAGAGAGGAAAGCCTATAACCCATTAACAAACACAAAGTTAAAAGATATAAAAATAAACCTGAGTGCACCCCTGCTGCTGACCCTGTGCTCTTCCCAGCCAGGACCCCAAGGTGCTGGTGGCTCACTCTCACCACGCGTCAGCACGGCAAGAGCTTAGCACTAGAGAGGAAATGGGTAGACGGTCACGTCTATTAGTTTTACTGTATTAGTAACACCACAATACCCAACAGAAACTGGGTAATCTGGATTGTTGTTTCAATCTGACTACGAATAAAAGGCTGCTCTATTTCAATTAGACTGTTAAAGCATTGGAACAACAAGATTCTGATTCTTGGATCCTCACCCAATTTGTCTTTTGGCTGCCCAACATGAAACTGTGCATGCATAAGAAAGATCTTTGCATGCAACAGCAGGCCTTCTTAAGGCCTGAAAAAAGTTACTTTTGAAGATGTGCAAAATTTCAGACCACAGTGATCATCATAGCATCCTTCTCGTCTTGCGCTTAACAGCGAGTACTGGCAAAGAGGACCAGGAAGCTCAGGTGCAGGCAAGCAAAGGAGCACTTCCCTGGAAGCCCAGGCCTTGCGATGCTTTCGCATCTCAAACAGCAGCAAAAAGGGAGAGCGCAAAAGAGACGGCACAGTCCTGTCCATGTATCGCATTTACTGCGGACAGTGCAGCCTTGCTTTTCGCAGGTGCTAATGCAATTCTCTTTGCAGCCCTACAAGCTTATGCTTCGTGGGTTTCTTTTGTGTTGCTTTTTGCTTTTTTATTCCCTGACAACGTTGCTTTCTATCTTGGCTAATTCTGTAATTTCGTACAACAGGTTTAGTTCTATCCAACAGATGGGTTTACAGGCTTTGCTGGAGCTGAAAAGAGGGGAGAGCTTTCTGGGGACTTCTCACCGGTCTGAGTTTTGCAGCCTACACATGCCGTAAGGTATTTTCCATTCAAGTAGGCAGCGACAGGAAAGGAAGCATACGCTACTCAAATCTGCTGTTGTCCTAAGCATTCCACACCGTTTCAGGTTTGTTGTGAGCTATGACTCAGAGCGGTCCAGACAAACTAAAAAACAGCGTCCGTGCAGTTAGGATACGGCAGATTAATGAAGAAACTGCAAGGATTCACGGTGTCCTCCCCGCTTTCTTTGTGCGGAATATCAACAAGAGACACTGTACAAGGGCAGGATTCTGCAAGATCACTCCTCATCTTGCACATCACTCAAGTCCTATGCCCTTCAAATACACGCCAGCTACCGTAACCCCAAGCGCGCAATATACTCCCAGAAGCAAGTTGGCTAAAACAACAAACAAAAACCAACCCCTTCCCTCCAAAAACCAAACTATTTTATGGGTTCACTGGCCTAAAGGATCCTTCTATTACGTATCTATCACTGCAGATGAAGGAACTATGTCATGAAATGCAGGAGTGGAACGAGATGCAGCGAGACCAGCCTGTAAAGGTAGCTCATATCAACCCCAACCATCGCTGCGGGACAAAAGCACTTCCCAGCCTGCAACACAGGAACTCACGTGGTAAAGCCCCGCTAAACAAAATATGAAAACCTTCTGTGTACATCAAAGGGGCTTAACAGAAGGCAAAAATAGCAGGGCTTAACTGGACTATATTTATATGCAAGGAGAGGTTGTGGCTTGTGTTTAAATATGTATACAGTCCCCCAGGCTAGCAGGAAAAACCAGTTATCAGCTTGCCATCCACCTCAGGCAGCCTTCGGCAGGAGCTCGCAGGGAGAGATGACTTGAAAGCCACCAGCTATTCACCTTCCAACTTCAAAGCTTTGAAACCACCATTAGATTGTTTATTCCAGCCTCTGATATATTTCTCATTTTAACGTGCATGTCTTCCACTGCCCAGGGGAGACGCAACAGGTTCAGCTGCCCAGCATGAGCTGATGCTGAGCATGCTCTTATCATATGATAGAGCTACACTGCATGGAGTCTTCTCCTTTCGTTTAGGACCAAACACATATCCCCTCCCACCTTGAAAAACCAGAGACAGGCTCGCTACCTGCTTCCCCCCAGAACGGGAACAGGCCAAGGCTTTGAGATGGCAACTGCATCTTGGCCTACATTAGATATCAGAATGGGGAAAGCCAAACCTGATCCCGAGTCTTCAAGCTCGAGCCAGAAAAGGTCTTCACGCTACATAGCCCAAAGGTGGCCTCTACCACGTCCCCATCAGCAATTCAAAGAGAAGAGATGACACTCAAGGGTCAGATTTACCACCGGTGACTGCTACAAAAAAACATAGCAGCCACCCTGTAACATCTACTTTCTGCAAAAATAAAGGGTATAATTATAGAAATATTTCCAGGCACCTAGTTTCTGCATGTCTGGTGTTTGCTCATCTTTAGCACAACATGACTCTTAGGATACTTGTGACATTTTCAGCCATGACAACTATCAGGCAGGAGTTCTTCAGCTACAGTGGCACTGCAAATTAAAACCAGAACCGCCAGAGGCATATTTAAATTGTTAATTGCTTTAACTGTTAATATTGTTTAATTATAAAGATTTACAAAACATCTACCATTTAACTTTCCCCGAGAAGAACCATGAGCACCTTTTGTAATAGCTCTTTTCTTTCCACTCCAATTTGTTGGCTCAGTTTAATTATTCATTCTAATTTTCAAGTCACCAAGGAGTTTTGCTTAAGGAACGATAGCACAGGTAACCTTTATACCCAAAGGTGTTAAAACTGGTATGAGCAGACAGGTTGCGCTCTATAAATAGATACATTCAGCCAATTATACATATTTCATTATTTAACCTTTTTTGCTGAAAAATTTCATTTTACAGTCTTGCCACACACAGTGGATATTGAGCAGGATGACTCTGGCCAGTGTTTTAAGAACAGGGGCCCACAGCCTCCGCCCAGGCAATCATCTTACTTATAAGCACGTCTTCACTGACCTGCAACTAAGATCAGACTCTGTGAAGCTCACCTTCCACCTAGGTCCCAGAAAGTAGCTCAGAGCAGAGCTTGGGAAGATCTGACATTTAGCCACCATCCCTGAGAACAGGAGCTCCTGAAGCCTCCAGCACTTCAGAAATCCAGCACTGGCGGCTGTAATTTTGTTTCCCAAAAAAAAAAAAAAAAAAAAAGCCCCCAAAGCCATAACTGTAGGATGAAATGCATTGGGTTTCACTGAACTTTGAGGCTAATAAAAAGATCAAATTTCTCCCAATTCAGGAAAACATAATGGGTGCTCTAGGCTATGGCATGTGTGTAGAGACTCTAGGGCTAGAGCTAATCCACATCCTCCACAACACAGCAGTGCTGCGAGGAGTCCCTAGCTCAGCTCTCAGATGCAGCCCAGCCGTGGCAGCATGATGCTATGGCTAATGGCTGGGTTACGCACTGTGCCAGCCTAAAGCCAGGCAACAATAAATACTTCTTCCGCTCCTTCCAGGCCCAGGGTCACCAGGCGTATGGGAGCCTGCTTTATTGCAGAGCGCGGACACATGCCCTGCCATGCTTGCCAACACGGTTTAACAGCTTCTCTGATGGTAAGATCCCACCTTCTCTGGAGCTGAGGCTAAAGGGGGACGCGCAGCCCCTCACTGACCACTACTCACAAAAGGGAAGTTTACCTCCATGCAGAGGCCAGCGGAGACAGTCCCTGGGACACCCAGCCGGCAGGCTAGGTTCGGGCACCACGAAGAAAGCCTGCCCTAACATAGCAGCTAAACCGCATGACAGATATCCTCACCTGTGACCAGAGTTACAAATTCTTGTTTCAGGACTAACTAGTTATAATGCACCCTGGGACAGTGGGGAGGGAAAGCAACATCCTGGGAAGAAGAACGTATTGGACAGAAATAGACAAAATCTTTCCTGTTTCTCAGGCTTTTCCCTTCCCACAGGTAAGTTCCCCCACCTCTCACTCACCACAGGCTAACGGTGTTAAGAGCATGGTGAAGAACAGCAGCTGTGATGACCACATGACTGTGAAGGAGGGCTTGAAAGTATCCCAGCAAACACGGGTTCAAACAAAACGATGCGAGCCTCCACCTGCACTTGCTTCCAATGCTTCAACTCTTGGTCTTCAATTCACATCCGAAAAGAGGGAGGGGGGAGAAAAAAGCCAACCAAAAAATAAAAATAAGAATAAAAAACCCACAGCCAGTATCCAGAATCTGAGACCTATAAGAGGAGAAAAAAAAAAGGCAGTCAGTAACACATTGAGATAGGGCTTGCTGTACACTTGCATCTGTGTACAGCAAAACTAATACAGCAAGGGCAAGCCTGTCTTCCCCCTTCTGGCCCTCTATGTACCAGAGGAATTAAAACTCATCCCCATGCAGAGAGCCAGTCTGATCACTAATGCTCCATCTTCTTCTCTTAAAACTAAGCTGGAATCAGCAGTTTTGAGCCCAAAGGCCCAGGGAGTCCACAAGGATGACCAGAAGCAACAAGTCCACATGCGTTGCACTAAAACCTATGTACACTGGACTTCTGAACTGGTCTGCAACTCACCGGAAAATGCTTAGGCATCTATAAATTAATAGCTTCCCTTCACTGGGTCCAGACCAGGCTTTGAACCCAAGCAAAACCTGGAAGTCCCCCTTGTCCCTGAGCTACCTACAGTAGTGACTGCCAACAACTGCCAGTGACTCATCCAGTTCCAGCCGAGCTCCTCGGTTATTCATTGTGGGATTAAAAATAATGGTTTCGTCCATCCCACACTCTTACAGGAAAGCACATGGAAATTAGAGTCTATGCTTGAATAGAAACATTCACTCATTTAATTGCAAAAAGGATTCCAGCTTCCCATCATTTTAATCGCGCAAGAAGGGGCTAGATGGCCATGGTGACTCAAACTTGGCAGGAAAAAAGCCCCACCACTATACAGAGTTACACCATGCCATCAGTCTGAGACTTAGCTCCCTGCTGACTTTGAAACGATGATAAAATATGAGGAATTGTGAAGTACTTCGCATATGTGTTTTGAACTCCCTAGACTTTGTAGCCTTCACAGCACTGGTCTAATTAAAAAATCTCTCCAAAAATCTCTGATCAACAGAAGTTATTCTTCTCTGAGCAAAGAAGCTGTTTTTGCCAACTTTTGTTCTTGCTCAAAACCCAGTTTGAGCCAAAAAGCTATATGAAAAATAGCGCTGCATGCCATTGCGATGCGGGTGCACGTCTGAAACTCGGGCATGACAAAGTGGCCTTTGTTTTGCCTCCTATCTTCACTGATCAACTACATCAAACCCCACATTGTCCTGACCCAAACTCTATAAGGAAGCTGCATTTTTTTCCCCGATAAATATAACTGCTGGCGCTGCCAAGGCTTCATTCCCCCAACTCTCCTCTCCTCCCCTGTCTACTCCCTGCAATTTGTTCACTCAAATGCAGCATTTACTTTCTCAAGCTTTTCCTCAGCTCTATAACCAGGGTGGCTAAAAAGCCGAAGGTCAACATGCAGTCAAGTGCCTTCTCTACGGTCACGCCAGAAATTACGACGCAGCTCAAGTTCGGACTAATCACAGCAGTCACCGATAACATTTAAGGCCCTTTTTCCAAAGGGAGACGAGTCTCATGAATATTTCAAATTAGACATTTTAAATAGCGATCTACTTCTCCATTTATATTTCAGAAGGCTACCAGCACACATCACGCCGCGCCACCGGCCATCGCGTACGCGAGCTTTCTCCACTTGCATCCTCAGTATGGAGAGGTTTGAAAGCAAGCAGCTTCTTGCCACGAGTTTAAGGCGGCGTACGAAGAGATAGGGGCAAGCTCTCCAAGCTCAGGTACGCTTCCTCCAAGCAAAGGCTCAACCACACAGCGAAGGAGCAGAGGTTTGTTTCCTCATTTTTATTTGTTTAAGCCGATTCAAGTTACGGATAAACTAAATCTGTCAGAAGGAGATAACATTATGGTGCAGTAGAAGCTGCTTGGATAGAAACCGGAGAAATCACAAATTAATTATGCTATCTATCCCAGAGTAGGGATAATTGGCAACATTTACATGGGGGGTGGGGAGGGGGGAGTACTCCTGCACGATCCCATCCAACAATTTATTTTCTCTATGGTCTCATGGGCCAGGGCTCAAAAAGCAAAAGGATTTACCTGCTCTTAGCAGATCCCAGACAATTTTGGGAACCGATTTCTTGTAACCACCCAGAAGCACATACGTTTTATCCCACCAGGAAGAGGAAGTTTCCCCGTTACCCAGTGACAAAGCTCCTATGCAAGATGCAGAGAGGATATAAGCAGTTACATGCGCTATGTACTCTGGTTCAAAACCTGGCCCCATACTCTAACCCCAATTTCCTTCCTTCCAGAGGAAGGGAAGCTGAAGACATCGCCTACCCGGCTGCATCCACACACCACCAGCTGGCACGACCTTGCCTATCAGCCTGCTCCTACAAAGATCTGCTCAAATCCTTAGACTTAAGCTCGTGCATAAGTCTTTACAAATCCACAATTTGTCTGGAGAGCTGCTGAAGTTGTTTAACGAGGTGGGGAACCACAGCATTAACCAAACAAATCCTAATGCTGCAAAAGCCTCAGTGGTTTTGTGTCACCTATAAACAAATAATCATGGGGCGTTTCTGACCTGGGGAAATGCTAAGCGGGAAATGAGTGAGGCAGCCCTTTCCTGAATGGTCCCACAAGCCCTCTCAAGCAGCCTTAGGAGATGCAGAAAGAGGCCTGCAGAATAAAGTCCACTTCATCTTTGGATTACCCCCAGTTAAAATACAAAGACCAAAGCAGGAGCACGTATCATGAACTGTTCAGCGCTGTTAGTTTTTTTTGATGCGAGAAGGAGATACACCACCATAGCGGGAAAACTGAGGGTTGCGCTTGACCTAAGGGGCTTGATTTGAACCATTAAGAAGATGCAGTCTGCATTAATTTGTGGGGAGGTTCTTCTGCTCACTGACCTTTCTGCCTGCAGGGCTGCCACCGAGAGCCTCGCGCTCTCATCTGCTGCCAAGCATTGCCCAAGAGCCATTGGCACGCTTGCTATTCCTAAAATCCAGCTTATCAAAACAGTACTGACAGAATAGGAGAACGCCAAAGCAATCCAAGGCCTTATGGACTGGAGAGGTGCAGTGAAGCAATCGCCAAGATTTCCATTATTAAAAGAGCATTAGGCATATACTGATAAGCACAGCGTCTACCAAAATCTGTTCTTCAGTAGTTGAGGTCAAGCGCAAACAGAGCTTTTTCGGTGACAGTCAAATGCCAGTCTACAGGGAGGGCAAAAGAGAGAAGGAAACTAGGTAACGTAGTTAGTGAAATGATAGGCTGAAATCAAAGCGGGATTTAGAGCAGCCCAGGCCAAAGGTACCAACAACCCACCTAACCTGACCCAGCAAAATCTGCCCTCCTTCACCAGGTATTGGGCCCTCTCTGGACAGCCAGGGCACCACCACAGCAGGGGCAAGGGCATTTCAAATGGGATCCATTAGCCAGAGGCAGACAGAAATGCCCCGCGCCTTGTTTTTTCCAGTTTAACTTAAGCCAAGTTTACCTCCTCCCTGAAAACACATCTAGTTTAAGCTCACAAATGTGTGCTGTCAGGATTGCTTTATATTCCTTACTGGAAAAGATCACTGCACTTACCTCCTCCTTTGGAAGAGGTTTCAAACAGATATCAATTAAATTCAGTGTTTACAAGAGCAAAAGTTTGGAAGTAATTAACTCTTTGAAGCTGACGATTATGACCAGAGTTTGAACCGTGGATGTAACTTCCCCGTTCTCAGCATCAGCTACGGAAGACAATTTATTCCAGAACATGTTCTCAGAATTTCACTAAGGAAACAGGAGAAGGGGAATAACCCCAGCAAGAAAAAGACAACATGCAATTTCTGCAGAAGTTTACTAGACATGATGAGAAGTGTTGCAGCACACACTGCACAGCTGGAGTCAGGGCAGTACATCGGACGACCCTTCTCAAAGGGACACTTGCTGGTGGGTATGGTGGGCAGACTCACTCATCTGTGCTCCAGCCTGCTCATGCCTACGTCCTCCTTCCGCACTGTAGACCTGGCTGCTGTTCCCTCTTGTGCCTGCCGGGCCAGGGAGCTCAGAAGCCAGCTACCCAACCCTTCTGCCCCATATGCATGGGACTACAAGAGAGCAAATATATTTCCAAGCCTCTATTTCCCAGCAAGGGTTAAAATGGGAGAGTCACCATTAAGCACCTCTGTCCTTAACAGGTCATTCCTGTATTGATATTAATTTTATACATAGTTTGATACCGTAAGCTCCAGCCTACTCGTCACTCCTCCTTTGTATCTCACCTAGCACCTCGAAAAGCCATTTTAAACATCCCTGAAAGCAAACAACATGGCTCATAACGCCCTGTTCATCCCGGACTCGGATATCACTGCAGCGCTCCACGCGCTCCCTCGAGAGGGGCGGCCGGAGCAGCCAGGAGCCGTTGTCGGCTCAAACCCAGCCTCATCCACCACCTGGTTAGGTTGTAATTCAAAGTGACAAATAACTCTTTAGATGCACTAACGGACTCGCTGCAAAATGACTCTCAAGCGTTAACTGAGTTAATTCATTTCAGATTAATCAAGCCTCTGATAAGAGCACACACGAACACAGGCCAGATGAACCTAGCCTTTTCTCCTCCCCCTGCCCCGTGTAGGGGGAACGGAGGCTTTCGTGCTTTTCCAAAGGTCAAAAAGGGGAATTTAAGCTATCTGCTGCTTGTTGGTTTTCCCATTCAACCCAGGATCAAAGCAACTTCAGCAGAAAACGATAACCAAACTAAAAAGCGAAGCTAGTCACACATCTTTGACTTCACTCTGGAGGATGGAGGGGGAGAGACAAGGAAAGTCTTGGAAACACCTTCCAGAAGCTTATAAACATTATACCAATTGTACGCATGAATATCACAGCCACTGAATGCTCCAGCCTTTCCTGACGCGCCTGCCCGTTATCTCCTGCAACATGCTTCATTATAGATTGAAAACAGGAAGGTACCTCACTCGCACGGTCCCTGAAGGAATGCAAATATATGGTAACACTCGCAAAAATTTCAAAGCTGCAGGGCACCATCCGAGGATGTTGCAAAATATGCAAATAACTGTACTGCATTACTGCACCTAGATCAGCCCAAAAACCTGACTACGAACAACTCTACTCTCTCCTCAGTTAAGCACTGCCTACTTAAACAA